CTCTCTTGTATGCCAACAAGAGTAGGCGGAGGCGACAAGAATCAGTGTGGGAGCTCCCCCAATTTTTCCTGCTACAGGGGGCAGGCCGGTGCTGTTACAGAAACCCGGGGTTGCTGTTACGGAAGCCCTGCCCGTTCCCGTTACGGCCATCACTCCCCAACTCCCCAAATCCTTACCCATCCGGCCTGGGCTGCCGTGGCCGGAATCAGCTGGAGGCTGCCTCCGCTACCTATGAAGTTGCACCGACAAAATGCATCCTCTCTCAACGCTTGAAAACGAGATTCTAATAATTTCCGGTTCAGTTAAAGCCTCAAATGCGGCCCGGCCTACCAAGGTCTAGGGCTTCAGTGGGCAACGGGAAAGGGGCCGTCGTGCAAACGTGCAGCCACAGGGAACCTCAAGCATCGAACACCTGCACAAGCAGACCAAACATCTGCTGAGACCTCCGTCCCATGAGACTTTGTAGTTTCAACCTCAACAGAACCCTGAATCCCAAAACCAGAAGCCGAAATCCAAGACCCAACACCCTTCGAGAAGCCCTGCCTGGGCCGACGGTCATGGAGCCGCCTTCCATGGAAGCTATTGAGTTTGGGGAAGGGCACCCGGGCACCGATCCAAAGCCACGGCTTAAAGGATTGAAATGCCGGCTGACCCCAGCCCAAGTCGCTCGACCGCCGCCCTGCCTACACTGACCCTGAACCACAGACAGATTGAGCATCTGGGTTCTGTTCTGTGTTAAACCCGGCAAGTCGAAACCAATGAGAAACACTCATGGAAACTCAACACTCATGCCAGGTACCAGGTACTGTGCATGGGAGTGTTCTCAGTTAGCATTCTTTTCGGGGCTCTTAAGCCAACTCCACCTGACGGGAACCTTCATGCATCACCTCATAGCCGGCCGCATGAACCAAGAGATCTTTCGAAGCCCACTCAGTATGCTTGTTCGGATTTTTCTGAGGGGCAGGAGGCCCAAAGCAGCTTCTTGGTGCGGTAACTCGGACAGCCTACTGAAGGGCCACTGCTCTGTAACTTCCCAGTGTAGGCATAGCGCAAGCGCTGGTCCACGAAACAGGTCAAGATGGGTGACAATTTAGGCAACAGCTACTTGACGATTTCTCTCCATACAATCGGGCTCAGCCACCGCAACGTACGCCCGCGACACTCAGACCGGGCCCTCAAAACTTGTCATGATAGCCACGAGGTATGCTCGTTTTGATTTGTACTCTTCGTTTGGTGAGAGGTCCGGTGACCCGGTACTACAGCAGTACACGCGGGGTAGCATCGGGCTGGTATGTTTGGGGGGGGGGGGGTGCCTTTCTGGGCCGACACCCACGGCCATAATGATGAGAAGCATATCCTCAATACCTATCGACGAAGGGCCAAGAGGCTGCCATGTGGAACAATTTTAACCTTGCCTAAACTCACTCCTCCGCTCCAAACCTCAGACTGAAACCTTGCGATTGAGATTTATACCACACCCCAAGTCCTGAACAGCTATACTGTACTCAAACCCTCAGCCATGTGAAAGGCCTGGCACACGGGGACCCGGCGTGGTTCGATACCTGGTGGAACATATAAACTGTGTTTGCTAAAGTTTGCGTTCAGTCTTCTGACTTGGTGGTTCACCCTTATGAAAATTCAAGCTCTGGGGCTTCGGGACTGGGGCAGCTTTCGCGAGTTTGGCTTAGAGAAGGGATTCCGGAGGCAGTGTGTAGGGTAAAGGACTTGAGAGTTTTGCGCTTCTCCAAAAAATTCCCTTAATTCCTGATGTAGAGTCAATGGCGAAGATTGAATTTCAGACTTGACGGGCGTGCTGCACTGTCTACCAGCTTGCGCTTTCTTTCAGGTAACTCACCGCAATCCGCTGAAGCACCCTCATTCTGCGGGAGCACAACCAAATGGAGCTTGGAAGTACCAGACGAAGCAAATCGCATCTTGCCGCACAGCACCCGATCGTACAACGTAGTCACCGGTCGAGATAGTGTCGATCCCGAAGTCAGACCTTCCAAAACCACGTCCCTGCGAAAAAGCTCGAGTCCTGATTTACGTCCAAAGTCCCACGGATATTACACCCTCAACACGGAAGGTTAAAGTCCTCACACCCGGATTCCTTCAGCTTAAACAAACAGTACCTCCTGCAGCTAACGTCCACATCTGTTTTGGTTGCTTCAGGCTCGGGGTGCCCTAACAGCACCTTCAACCCTGCGCGCCTTGGGGGTGGTGAGCCCTGGCTGCAGCAGTAGGCTCAGAATGGATCAAGGCAAGTCGTTTCTTTAGGGCTTGCTCAACCACAATGCTGACTATGACGATCACATTCTTCTTATTGACAGGTTATGCGCATCACACTTTTCAATGCCAGCGACCGCCCCAGCTCCTACGCTGCAAGTCTTCGCTTCAAGCTCGGAGAGACATCAACACCAGCTGAAACACACCATGAACCGGGCATGCAGCCAATGCCCATGCTAGGTTCGGGCTTACCGTGGTCAAACTGGTTTCTGAGTGATGACCCTCAAGTGTCCAAGGAGTAGAAGGACCCGACGTGGACGTTCAGGTTGCCGAGCAAGACTCTAGGATGCAAAGGCTGTAAAGAGCCCTTCGCGTGTAGACGCACTAAGCTGCTTCTTGGATTCGGAGACCCGAAAATATGATCGACTCGGAGAACAAACTGCCGAAGGTAGAAAGCTGCCACCAGCCAGTCAGCGAACACTTGAACACGCAACTGGACGTGCAATCACTGCCGCTGGCGACCAAGCTAACAGCAGAACAAACTCGAATCCCCCTTTCCCTATACACATGTTTGTCGCTCAACTCTCCGCCGCATGCGTTGTGCCCTCAACTTCGAAACGGAGCGACTTAATCTTTGTCTTGCTGGGCAATTGGAATGCATGCAAGGACACCCGATTCCGGAACAGTATCCGAAACTCCCCGCAACCATCATCTCCTAAGCCCTTTGCCTCCATAATTCCCCGTTCTGTGCCTGCGGTGGTCGAGCAACACCGACCCCGAGCCGGCTTTCGGAAGCCACGGTTGTGAGTGTACCGACCTGTTTGTACTTCAGATCCCGCTTTGTGTGCCGGGGGTTTTAGCTGCAGGTGTAGCGGTTTGCTACAGGGGAGTTTGGGACTTCAGGTAGGCCCGGGCTCTGCCGCATTCGAAGCACGTAGACTTTACGGTCTTACAGCTCCGGGACTCGGGGCTCAAGGGATTCTGGCTTCGGAACGGAAATCGGGATAGGAGAGTCTTCTTCGGGTTTCGAGTTGCGTTTCGTAGTTGCCTCGTAAGCCCGTTCAACATTTGGGGTTTAGGTTGCGGCCGTGCCGAGACACTATACTCACCCGTCACATCGCGGCCTCTTTCGTGAGTGAAATTCGCATGCTATGCGCGAGCTGCGATGGGCCTTGAAACTATAAACACTCAAAAACCCAACTACCAAAAATGCCGCCCCAAACGCTTTAGAGCACATACCGCTGAGGTACGTCCGGGCTTGTGGCCGGGCGGGCGGCGCCCACCCTGGATGCAACACCCGGCTGGGGCAAAGGAGCAGCCTCCACAGAACGGAAGCGATGAATGGGTGAGCGGTTTGAGTAGCTCAGAAGCCCAAGATCAGAGTCCTGCACCAAAATGAATTCCAAGTCTTTGCAAAAATTCTATATAGACTCGAAACATCAAAAATCGTCAACCCGACAAAATCCAACTCTGCGACGCTACTTAGCCGCCGAAGACCTCGATCCAGCGATATGAGTCCCTGGCCTCCCGTGCTTTGGTCCTGCACGGGGCAACCTCCCGAACGGGGGCTGCGGCCTTGCATAGGCCAGGCTGTTGGGGCTCGTAGCTGGCCTGACGTGTTCTTTTTATTGGTTTCCGGTTTGTAGATTTCGGGTTTAAGGTGCCAGGTTGCAGACTCGAAGCGTTGGCATTTCTTGGGAGGATGAATGAGGTTGCTGAGCCTTGTGGCATGTAGGTGTGGGGAGTGGGTATGCATGGATTGAAGGGTTCTGGCACATGGCACATTCGAACTGGAACTGAACAGAAGGTATGGTCCATCTGGGTCTTGGGCATGGATCAAAACGAAGCTCCCCCTTTCCAGACTTAAACTTTGAGGATTGGGGCTTGCTTAGGGCTAAGGGAGTTCGGCTGCTACGGCCACTGGGCTTAGACTTTAGGGAGTCAGGTCAAGGGTGTTGGGATGCCGTGAGGTTTCAAGTTCAGGGGTTCCGGAATCGGGGATGCACTGTTTCAGCTCTTTTTGGCTCGCCTTTTGCTACACATGCTAACAACGCGTGTCGACCACGCCAGATCCAGAGCCGCACAGCTTTAGCCTATGGTTCAAGTTTCAGAGCCGACAGTTTTGCCGAAAACCCCTTCCAACCAGCTAGCACCTTGAAGTACTGCCAGACCATCTGTGTTTGGCAAGTTGGCTTTGTGTTGTAGGACTTCGGGTCTATGAAATTGGGCGGGTCATGGGGCGGGGGTGGCAGTCAAGCTTATAAAGTTAAAGTCTAGACATTTGCTTGATGATCTCTTGTCCGAAGATCCTTTTCCATGAACCCTTCGCCCTAGCTCTATGTTTAAACAACCGGCTGCCAGATCCCACGCGCAGCCCTGCACCTTCTGGTGCGGAGAACTTGCACTATCTTGTCTTCCCGGGAGGTGTCCCAAAAGCTCACATGCTCCGATAGAATCAGAGGACCTCTATCAACCCGCAAATTTGAGCTTTCAGGTGCTACGAGCTGTTCTGCTGTCTGCTTTTCTTGAGTCTTCCAGTCGTGCCAAGTTAACCAGAATGGTATAGTCGCGGACCACCTCCCCTGAAAAAACGCTTCAAGAGCCGCGCCTTGACATCTGAGATTACGTACTGCCATGATGACTGCGGGTACCGCTGTAGCAAATGTTGAAGCTGGTCTTAAATGAAAGCACGAATCAAAGCGCAACAATCTAAACAGCTGCCCTGACTGCACTGCCCGTTTCAAGAGTCATTTCTCGCATTGAGCCGCATGGTCTCATGCCTCCTCGCACAATGTGCATAAGGACATGCTATTGACCTAACTGCTGGCGCCTTTCGGCCACCTAAAGACACCGCTCTTCCTTAGGGTGTAGTCATAAATTCAATTATCCACCACCCTCAGCAGAGCATGGCCCTGCTGCCCAACACCTTACCCACAATTTGAGCGGTCGTGTCCTTCTGCTGCCCTAGTGGTTTCGGGATAGTCACAGCTCTTGAACTTGCATCCCGTACCCAAAACTCATCTCAAGCCTACATTTCAAGCCACATCGGTGATAATATCCTAATGACCCTTCCACTCCAGGAATGTAAGCTGCTCCTTGCCGGTAATTTTCTCATAGATCTCGCGCACCTGGCATGCCCCGAGCTTCTCCAGCTTGCTGCTAACGGGGAGCTCGTTGCTGCTTAAACTTGAAGGGCTTCGCAAGCCCGGCCATGCTCTGAATCAAGAGAGAGTTAAGGTTTCGGATGGACTGCAATTTGGTGACACGCCAGCCTGTCCCAGAGACCTGCAAAGCCATCCCACTATGGCAGATGAGTGCGCAGGGATCACGAAAAAAACAAGCATGCAGCGTTTGGTAATCGGTAAAACATCTATCGATGGATTCACACCGATTAGCCATGAAAGGAGTGTATGTGAACTGCGGGTGCGCATGCAGGCATGCAGTGTATGTACTTGTATGAATATACCGAAGAGAAACCGATAGACAGATTGGTCTGGTACTTGGATGGAGACAGGCAGATGATGGCAGATGTGTAGACGTACAGGGAACCATATGGCAAATGGTTTAAGGTTGCTACAGTATGCGCCCCACTCACCACCAGGCCTTCATGGCGATCACGGTCTGAAGGAGGCCGGTGCCGTTCTGGGAGCCCGGGGATGACTTGAGGCCGACCATAGCCTCCAACAACTTTCGGCAGCTTCATGGTTCAGGTGGGTTCAGGGTTTCGGGATTCAGTAGCCTATTAGAGTTGGGAGTTTAGGGTTTCAAGTCGTGGCGCTCACAGCGTTTCACTGTTTTAGAGTTCAGGCTAGAGAGGGTGTTGAGGGACTAGAGGGTTCAGCCGAGGGTGTAACTGGACACTTGAGCTCTCCCCTCTGTAAGTACCCTTGAGGTTCAAGCGCAGGTTTTGAACATTCGCGGCTGGCTTTGCAGGGGTTCTGCTAAGACCCCAAGCCCAGTGAGCTGTGAGACTCCACACCCCAAGAATATCTTCCCAGACAGACAAAGAGGATTCATGAATCAAATGCATCCATGTCCGGACCTCCGTGAGTTCGCCGGACGACTTGGCACCCAGGCCCTCGAGGCTCTCCTCAATCTCCTCCCGGATGGGTTCTGACCCTTTCCGCGTTTATTCTGGCTGGAAGAAATGCGACGCAACTCAGCTCAACTCTATCTGACTTGTGCTGGGATTAAGGCATTAAACGAAGGACTTCAACTGGCTGCTGAAACATCTGACGGTGGGCATTTGGGGCTTACTTGCGTGCGACAACAGCTGTATCGTGTATGCTTGTGGCCAATGTCCCCAACATTAGCAGGTTCCCCAAGATCTTGTTTGCAATTGCAAACCGGAGTAGTTTCTTAAGGCTTTTGAGCTCCCACGAACCCAGAGGGTGGTCTCCCCCGAGCTTAAATCGCAAGCCGGCACAATTAGGCCCTTAGAGATACAAGACCACCAACTGTTGTTTCATTTCTAGACCAGACCAAAGCACGAACAATCAATTCTGTGATGAAGTTGGTTTGAACGTTAAGCCTCGAATGGCGAGAGACATGTCGCCAGCGAATTGAGAAGCTGGCACTGGACCAGAACATGGACATAGGGTCTACCCCAGCGATACCGAAAACCTCGCCCGCAAACCCGCACCCCACAAAGTGAGCTCCTACAGCCGACGAGTAAAGACCCCCAATCCGAATTCTTCAATTCTTCCAAGCCCTTCCTGAGCATCCTGAGCCCTGAATCCCGAAGCTCAAACACAGGATGCAAGCAACCACATGCCTTGAGCTGGCTCTCCATGTTGTCCATGTCAATCTCCCCATCCATCTCGACGACGGTGACGTCATTGCCAAACCTTGTCCACATCTCGGACGGTGGGCAAATTCTCACCCACGAACAACTGAAACATGTTGTACAGCTTGAGAAAACCCGAAGCCTCTATGTGCCTTGCCGCCGGCTAAGGTGCCTCTGGGGCTGTCCTTAGGAAGTCCTTCCAGTTCCAAGCACAAGGAAGGCCGAAAGCATCGCATCCACGAAGTGATGTTTTTGACGCTGAGGTGCCAATCATCGTCGTACATCTTCAGCACCGCGCCAGGCCTGAGCTCTGAGCTTCGAAGACGTGCAACAGCTCTTCACTTCACATTGGGTCCACAAAAAACTCTCAATTGAAAAAATCTGCTTTCAGCTAACCATCGGCCCCTAAACCGACGAATTGAGCCAGCATGCTCGCTGCCCTCCAGGGTCAGGTCCTTCTTCAGGGTGACCATCGGGAACTTGCCGCCCTCACGCAAAGAGAAGTTGGAAAGGGTTTCTGGGATTTTGAGTTGCGATGCGCTGTGATTTCGTGGGGAGGCCAGAGGTGCGAAGCTGCTAGACCGAATCCTTAAGTCCCTCTGCGTGCCGGCACAATACCATCTGCCTGCCCTCTGTTTTAGGCACGACTGCTAGCTCTAAGTTGAAAGCAGACGGTGGGACTTCAAAAAATGCATGGCGAAGGCTGCTTCATGCAGCTCTTCGCCAAGCTCCTCTAAGCAAATTTGATACCGCATGTCTCTGCCAGTCTTTGGGGAGAATGATCCAGCCATGACATGCTACCCCCAATCCCAAAGCAAACGCCGAGTCCTTCTTCTGGATCAGCTTGACCTGCTAGCAAATGCGGTGACAGGCCGTGCCGCGTTTGAGGGCTTGCCAGCACAAGTTTTGCCACGCACAGCACCGGGTAAATCCTCAGCCAGATTCAGTGCGCCAAAGGGAAGAGCATGCCTTGCTCCAAACTGATGTAACTCAAGAATCCTGCAGCCTAGACCCTATACTCTCTTAACTCCCAATCACTCAAAGGGCGTCCAAATGAACTAAAGCAACTTTTGACGCGAAGCCAGCCTTCAGGAAGGGCAGGCCCTTGTCAGAGGGCTCATAACCTCGCAGATCTCTCGGAAGCTGCCAACCGCAAGCCAAGGCTAGTACAGGTTTAGCATTTGCCTGGATGTTTTGAGAAGTAGAATGAGGGCCTTAGAATCGTTAGCTGAGTCATGTGCCTCCAGCATCAGACACTGGCTTTGAATCGGCTTCTCATAGTGTCTCCTTGAATGAGGAAGTTGAGATCCTGCGATTCGACTCTCGTGGTCCTTTGTGCTCATCGGTCTGGGACTCGGTGTTAGGAAGTGCTCTCGGCGTGTTACCATCGTCAGAGTTTCGATATTGATATACATGTACATATACATAAGAACTAGATGACCTAAACGACAAACCTCATAGGAGAACCGACATCTACACCGTGAGCCCGAAGCTCCACACCCGGGCCCTGAACCCAAAATCCTAGGCCGTGGTCGGATCGAGGGCACAAGGGAAACTTCACCCCATGATGGGCAATAATGTCAGAAAGGTTTCGGAATCCGCATCTAGTTATAATGCCCCTTGCATGGCTCAGGTTTAGCTACTAATCGCGTGAACTCGACGATAGAACCCCTTGAATACGCCACGAAGTACTTGAACCTCAACATGTCCTTGAGTTTCACAGGTCTTTGGTTCCAGGTTCCCGTGCGGAGCACGACATCTGCATTGGCCTGAAAGCTCGGCTTTGTCTTGAGTACTTACGTTGTTAGGTTGCGGGAGTTCGGGTGCTACAACCCTTGCCAAACTCAGATGTCAGTGATGAGATCCAGGAAGAGGCCGCAGGCTTAAAGGCGTAGAAAGCCAGGTAGAATCCAGGCCTGGGTCCTGAACCTGGAACCTTGCTTGTATGCCTATCCCTACGACGATGGGCTTACCACTTGAATTTCAGGCCTTGGCAGCATTGGATTCAAGATTGGGCTCAGGATGTAGGTGAGGTTCCGCTGACAGGTCACGACTGCATCAGTGACTAGTTTGCATGTCTCCGCCGCCACCTCGTGAAGAGCGATGTGAGTTAATGATCTGCCGGTTGTCAGATTCCAAACTACTGTCGCACTAGCAAACTGAATTGACTTACAGCTTCCAGATATCAAGCTGCAAAGTTACTGATGCAACGAAAGAGTGAACTAGAAAAGCACTCTACTGCTCAGATCAAAGTAGTCACTACAAGTACGATCCACAAACACGTACATCGGCAGTAAATGCTCGTGTGAATATGAGGTTTTTCAGAATTCGGGATGCTGCGCCTTCAACCCCAATTCCAGTTCGGAGCCATCTGCCAGTCCGCAAACCGCTTGCCTTCTGCGGGTCCACGTACTTGGAGAAGTCTGGAAGGCGCTTCTCGATGTCCTCGCGGACCTCGTTGTGCTGAGCGAGGGAGCTTCAAGATTCAGCATGGTTAATTTGAGTTGCGGGCGGATGTAGTGGGTCCCGCAAAGTCAACTCATCGCGTTTCGAACAAGAGGGTTGTCCCAACTTCGACCACTTATGCCTGTTGTGGGGAGAAACAGCATTTCAGATGCTTCCGTGCTTGAGGAATCAGGTAACGACACACTGCTTCGACAGATGCGTTAGGGCCCCGCGTGTCACATGCCTTTAAGGCACGACTTGCGGAACGGGATGCGTTTACGGGAGTACAGACCTGAGCTTGGACAGCTACTCTTCGGCTCACTTCTGTTGGGTTGTGTTCGGCTATGCACGCGGCAACTCCTGTCAGCGCCTGAACGGGAATGCTTATTGTACTTTGCGGATAAACAACACGACGAGAACGTGCCCGATGCCTGCAAGTTCTGGGCCTGGTTGTCAGGCGCTTCCCGTCTGAGCTTGAAACCCTGGACCATTCATACATGTTCGAGGCTTGCTTCAACAGGACACAAAAGGCCAGTGTTCCTATCGTTCCAGCTTGGATGGAGGGAAATCTTTTGCCCAGACTCACGACTGCACCCACGGTGTTTTTGAGCCCGTACGCCAAATCTATCCGGCCGATGTTTTGTTTCCCCACCCAGTCCCTAGCGCGTTTTCGGCCCCTCTAGACAGGTTTGAAATGCAGGGCCAAGGATGCAGGGCCAAGTTCCAGGCCTGCTCCTCGGTCCAGCCGCGCTCAGCAACGTCACGCTGCACCTGCTGTACAACCAACCAGCATGAGGCACAGAGGTGTGTTCTCAGGAAGTGCTGGTGCAATAGTACCATCTTGCTGAAAGCAATACGTAGTGTTTCCGACCTGCAAGGGACCTTCGGGGAGACAGTCGATCCTATGATGAGACTCAGGCCCTGCGGCTTCACAGATCTTTGGAGGTAAGTTCTTGCATCCATCACAACCGTCTGTCACTCGTTTCCATGAGACGGCGCAGAAGGTCTGCAGATGCATCAACTGCTTACCTACCAGGCGGCAGGGATAGTCTCGAGTCTCAACAAGCTATCTTCCAAATGGGAAACGGGCGACGGCGTAAGCACAGGCCTTCCACGCGAACTTCACATCATTCCTTGGGTGCAGGTCTTCGTTTTGCCGGGTTTTAATCTGGAGAATTACGACTGTTCGGGGGTCCATGTTAAGTGTACAGCCAAATAAACTCACTGCTCTTGAAATTCAGATTTTGGCCTTGAGACTTTAGGGTGCTAAGCTGCACCATCATAGTCATAGAGCTGAGTTGACTCTGCCAAAGAGCAGCAGCGGGAGGATTATCGGAAGGGAGAGGCATCGAACTGCCTTGCATGGATTAGCCAGAAACGAGCGAGGTTTCTTTGCCTTCTGCTTCGTTCTTCGAGCCTGGAAACCGGAGTGCACTGAGAACCTGTTAGCCCTGTTGAAAGTCTTCGTGTGGAAACAGGGATCGTCAACCTTTCATCCAAATCCAGCAGCCCTGACCTTCCTGGCAACTAGCCGTCAGAATCCTTCAGCACTTCGCCGAAAGGCACGATGTCGATGTAGATCGCCAGGTCGAGTTGGGAACGGGCCTGTCGAACATGATGCGTGTCAAAAAGCATCGAGCTTCTGTGCAGGTATTTGCCTTCTCGTCGTAGATGGGGTGCAGGCCCTCGAAGACCATGACCTTGTTGGGCTCGATGAGCTCAGGTGGGTCCTGGCAGCAGCGCTTCAAACGTTTCGGTAGGGTCGCGACATGACGAGGCCGAAGGCTCCACGGTCAGAGATTTTGGGTCTGGGCCGGGTTTGCAAAGGCGGAGCATCGTATTAGAGCTGTCATGGAGCTTTGGTATCCAGAAGCTCCTGACTTCAAACCTGGACATAGGTGCCCCTCCTTGTTGCCGGTGTCGTGGTTGTAGATCGGCTTGTAGACCGCCTTGCCTTTGAGGAGAACAAGCAAGGCAAGCAGTATCTCAATATAGAACCTAGCTGCTCTGCATGGAGGATGAGAATCCGCAAACCACAGCTACCGGATGAGTGTATTTTATACTTGACACCGTGACCCGTATATAATACGTATGTAAGCCTCACGCCATACTCTCACACCAAAACACCTGCCCTTCAGCATCTAACCGAATCTAGCCAATCCCTTTGACATATTGAATCATCAGTCCTCTGTGGTCCATCTTTCGGGATCCCTGCTGTCACAAAACAAATCAATCAGTGGCTAGCGAAACTTGACTTAGAGCATCGAAAGGGCTGAAATTGCACTACATCATAACTTTAGCAAGGGTGCTCGGGCTTCAGGTTTGGGCTTACAAGCTTGATATCACATCGCTGAACACTTGCACCCTGCAAACTCCATACCTAACACTCATCCCCTCAACGAAATCCGGAAGCACTTGTCCCAAACCCGTATGTAGCTCTAAACCCGAGTCCTGTTGCCCCCTCAACATTCTTTTTCGCTGCCCAGCTTCCACTCTTCAGGGCCTCAATCTGGACGCCCATCAGGGCAAAGTCGTTCCTTGTTTTTCCGATTTTGGTGCGAAGCTTAAGGTCTTAGGGTGGGCTTCACGGATTTTGCGGGCATAGTGTTGGGGAGTGCCGCGCTTGATGGACGGGAGTGTGGAGAGCAGCACAGAGTCTGGGTGTTGGTTGGGATGTTGTGCTTTCGGGGTCAACGCCTACACTCGAAACTCGAAAGCCTCTCGCCCTGTGCCCTGGTCTTCTTGCTGGTCTGCGAAGCTGCCAGGTATAAACCGGATCCCCAAAGCATGGACATAACATGACGTAACCATGCATCATGGCCTTCAGGTGCGGTTACAAGCTTCAGCTTCAGGGCTTGGACTTTGAGGCTTCCTTGTGGCCCGCAGAGAACCCTGGCACAAATATTCTCAGTAGGGCTCAGAATTCGGAAGCACTCCCGTGTCAAATCTTCTCCGGCGTGTCTCGGTTAAGAACAAGCGGCTCGCGTGCATCCAGGGCGGTGAGGCCTGTTGCCTTCGGCTTCAACAGCCGGGGTGGTTTCACAGTCTCGGTTCCCGGTCATTGACATATGGACCCGTTGCTGACGAAACATGACTGGTAGTTTGGTTTGGAGTAGATTGGGTTTGAAATGCCGCAAGCTGCAAGCTCTTAGTTGGATGCTGGACGTTAGACGTTGGAGGATGGAGTCTCAGTCTACCTGTCTTCGAGCTCTTACTGTTTGCAAGAGGCCGAGTCCTAAAGCAAACAGGAAACTCTGTATATGCTGGATACAGCGTTCCTCCCCAACACCTCCCACTCACGTCGCCGTCGCCTCCACTATCGTCTCTGTTGTGGTTTCCTCCTCATTACCGTCCGGCAAGCGCTGCCATCGACACTGCGATTACATCATCATCGCCACCATTTCAGCTCGGCGATCTCATCTTGCCAGCCCTGTTAGCCCGAAACTACTCATTCTCGAACTCCTGACTCGAGTAGGCTCGAGGTTGCATAGTACTGCAGCCTCGGATCGGTCTGGGGCTTGGGCCATTCGCTCTCTTCTCCCTCTCTCTACGTGTGTATATGGATAGACCGATATATAGATAGGTAGATAGATAAGTTAAGTTAGGATAAGATAAGATAAGATAAGGCAAGGCAAGGCAAGACAGATAGATAGATAGATAGATAGATAGACGGATAGATAAACAGACAGATAGATCGATAGATAGAAATAACTACAGAGAGAGAGAGAGAGAGAGTTGGAAAGGCAAAGAGAAAGCGAAAGCGAAAGAGAGAGAGAGAGAGAGAGAGAGAAGGATATATATGTATATAACAAAAAACAAGGTCAGTACAGGATACCAGCAATAGCTACCAGCTACCCCTGGCTGAAACCATTAACACTTAACACCACATGTATCTAAAACGTGTCAAGGTGTGGGATGGCAGGAGTGCGGCAGGCAGCAAGAGTCGGGAGCTCCAACTAAGATCATCACCAAACCATTGTGGGTGTTTACAGGAGGCCCGGACATTCGTGCAGATTCATAACTTGTGCCCTTTTCGACAGATGGCATGGATAACAAATAGGGCAACAATTGTAATCATCATGGCAAGGACAAGCTGACCTTGCGGCCAGCACGATCGTTCGTGTGGTAGTCATCGAGGCAGATCACCTGGGCGGGTAAGGAAACAATAGTGTACCTGGGCATACCCGACACTCAAGCAAGGCATTCCATTCAGTGTTGTACGACCGGGATGCCACATCCAAACTTCCAAAAATCCGACGTGGCAAAGCCAGCACCAAAATTCGCGAACTTCGCGGAGCAAAACAAACACTTCGAGAGAAATGCAGCCAAGCCCCAACATTTGGCTTGCAGACTTCTGCACATGATGACGGCACATGACCCGTGACTCTGAACGGCTGGAGTTGGGGGTTTTGGGTTTCAACGACTCATGGCTCGGTTGTGGGATTTTGGGAGAGACCTCAAGGGCTCACAACAAAGGTTGCAGATGTGTCTGGTGATGTGCCGAATGACATTTAGAACCACGACATGTCCGCAAGCTTCCTCTAGCATTACATACTGCTTTGAAGAAGCTGTTCAAGGTCTTTCGCAAATGGCAAGACTGCAGGCCAGTCGCTGTCATCATGTCGCCGATGGCGGTGTGCCTGGGACGGCCAGTTGGACAGCTTAGGACAGGCTTAGGACGTCGGCACGGTGCTCATATTGTACATGCTGGGGTACGCCTCGAGTTTCGGAAAGACTGGCAGGCAGCACACAACTTTCAGCTCCCAGAACCTGGTTATTCCCAAACCAAACTTTCCCCTCTTGATTCAACCTTGGACCCAAGCCCCATGCCTGAGTTGCAATGACCCTACTGACCCTGCTTCTTGCACTGCGCAACCCTGGAAAAACCCAACACTCAGCAAGGCTTTGCGACTAAAGACTCAAGGGCTGGCGGCTGGGTCAGGGTCCAGGGTTCAGGACACATGATTTCGGGATCGCAGACAAACCAACACACACACACACACTCGCATTTGGGCGTAGAGGTCCGATGTACGGCCGCAGCCCGATCCGTGCAAATTAAGTTATGCTGGGAGGTGAAACAAAAATGGAGAGATGTCGCACCCGTGCCGATAGACGACACTGCCCGAGCCAATGCGTGACGTCATGACATCGGGTACACTCAGGATGGTACTGACACAGCTGTCAGGATTGGGAAGCATAACCAAGACGGCAGGTACACCTTGGGTTAGCAGCTTCCAGAAGAGACGGAACAAATCCCCAGGAAATCCAGCAGAGGTCAAGCAGGAACGATGTTGTTGTGGAGGAGCGGCAGCACTTGGCACGTCCAAAAATGAACAAAGCCCGGGCAGTGCCAACAGAAAACCGACATCGTCAAAAGGACCTTCAAAGAAGGATAGATTCTCCACTGCGTTCCGGGAAACGGCGAAGGGGGAACCGCTAACACCCCCTTAGGTTCAATGCCTCGAACAGAAACATCGTTGAGGAGATTTCCAGAGAGAGCAATCAAGAGAACGCTGTCTGCTGCCCTATCAACTAGCTCAGCCAATCGTGCCAGGGTTGGCTTCTTTATTAAGAAGCATCTGCTGGGGCAGAGCGTAAACCTGTCATTGTGCCGCGCCAGAACCGGTTGTTCGGACTTATTGCTTGGAAAAACCGGGTTGGCGAGCCATGCCATGGGACGATCGACGATCAAGCCGATAGGACAAAAGGCCACGCCATACTGGTGGCTCTCCTGTCGTGCGTATCCACACACATATCTACACCTACCTACCTACACACACACACACACACACACACCCGCGCGCGCGCACACGCACAAACATACCCCAGACTTCAGGTTTAAGCTTCATCCCAAACTGCTAGCACTCTCACAGTCCCGAAGCCTCTCCGGCAAAAACACAACCTGGTCCCACAGCCCTAAACCCTCTACTTACGTGTGGCTCTGAACCACAAAACTCCACCCTGCAGGCCCAATATCTGGAAATTTTCAGCTCCTGATCTGATCTCCCTCTTAAGGTGCCCAGAACCCTCAACTCCAGACTCCAAACGTCTCCACCCCACGGCCCGAAGGGCCCAAAGCTAAAGCCAAACTCGGCCACTAACCACCTGTCTCTTTGGGCCCGCACCCTGGCGCCACCTCAGTGCCTAGTGCCCCGAGGATACGGCGCAGGAAGGTGGACCTGGATGGTCTTCAGACTTGGCAAGTGCTTTAGGATCCTTTAGGGTCTTTGGCCGGCTCGAATGCTTTTTATATCTGGGGTCAGGGAGGACCGATATTTGGACAGTGGAATTCAAAACTTCTTTCTCGTTCGGCCACATTCCGGGCTGAACTGCACTTTAACATTCGCTTACTGTTGCGCAGAAGGATGATATCCCAATGCCCATTTCCAGAACAGCAGTGCCAAACGCAGACGAAGCATCCACTCATGACCGTAGTACCGTAAGGCAGTGTAGGTTACTATGTAGAGCTAAACCAACAATCACAAGCAATACTAAGCATTTATCGGCAAACTCGCCTGGCATCCCTGAATCCCAAACGTCCCATACCCCAAGTCTTTGACCCGAAATCGTAAAGATCCCACGACTCCACAACCCTAAACTCTTCACCGACCTTTGGCCTTGACACTCGGAAGCCTTAAACTCCTAAATTCAACCCTTTAAGCTAATTAGCGTCAATGTGTAGGGTTTCCAGCTGCAAACTGACCTTCTTTGGCCGAATTAACAAGCGCTCACTCCATCTGCATTTCCTCCTGCGTCAAGGATGTTGGATTATGTTACTATTCTGATTCGTGAACAAAACAAGATTGCCATACACTGGAGGTCCACATGAAGTCACGACTTGTTTTGGTCCTTGAGCTTTTGCCAAGGGACTTTCCGCAGCCAGAGTCGGCAGCGACACCCACAATCACAGGGGTGTCCTTCAGGGCAGGGCCGAAGTATCGGAGTCGGCTTGAAGTTATTGTCGGCTGGGTTTCGGCCTGATGAACCATGGGTGGCTGGGTTGAGCAACCCAGCATCTCTATACCCGAAACATCGCGAGAAAGCCATCAGGAAAAGTGCTCGGATTGAAAGACCGGAGAGCATCTTCCCACGACGAAGAAAGCCATGAAAGTAAACGGTATGGCGGGGTTGGAGTTTGAGCCACCACATAGAACGCGATTCAAATTTAGGCATCAGCCCCACATTCGCAGCCATCATGTTATAGAATCCTAGCCTGACAGAACAACGCATGTTTTGCAATTCTTCCGATTTGTTCAAGATGTCAGACTACGCGCGGTCCCGAGGCCTAAGCGTTTGCCGAAACGGCGCTCAGGGTTTAGGGGTTCAAATATTATTTCAAAGTATGTCTCAGTCGTCCACAAGTTAAAATCCCAAACCTCCAATCCCTGAAACCCTGACACTGCCTCCAGCTTCACTTTGGAGTCGACAATAGGATCCATCTCATCCTTCCTCCCGTGAACGCTTGCGAGCGGGCTTGGGATTGCAAAGGGTCCCTGAAGCAAGCTGGATTGGATCATTCGTGGCTCGAGGTGTGACGGTTCTGGTTTTGGATTTCCGAGTTGGGAATTCAGGGCTGCTTGAGAGCTGTCAAACCTGCAGGTAGGAAGGCAACGAGTCCAAATCTCCAGCTTGTTTAGGGGCTTTGGCAAAGGCCCCGAAAAGTGCATTCACCTCATGGAAAGCGCACACGGGTGAATTCGACCGTGCTGCTAAACCAAATCTTACATATAAGGCCACAAGAGATTCCAATGTAGCCATAGAACAGCCTCCACAGTGTCTACTAGCACTTGTCATCCATCCCGGATTCCTTGGGGCCTGTCCAGGACCGATTCGTCAGTTGTAGATGCGTGCACATCATCTCAACCCCAATGCCAAAACCCCAAAACTGATTCAGATCTGCTTGAGAATCGGTCCAGTCGGATTTTGGAGTTGTTTGAGTTCAGTGAGCAGAACAGAAGAGAACAGACCGGTTCTATGCTGAGGAAGAACTATTTATACTAGTTCTAGTTTTTTGAGGACCTACCGTTTGCTTCAGCTGTCAAGCTTTCAGAGAGAGTCAGCTCTGGGTCTGCATGAACCTGAGCCAACTCGCATCACGGTTGCAGCAAATTGAATCAGCTAGTAAACCCTTTGTGCCCTATGTAGAACCCTTTTGAGAGGAGTTGCCAGGCATGGGTCGGGAACAGCTTGATGCCATCTACCTGTCCGATCAGGCAATTCGCCGAAATGCCAACCGAACCATGTGTCTACAACGGCTGTGACAATAGTTGATTTTAACTGCCCAGAACCCAAGCTTCACCAAGCAAAGGGTCTCCGGTCAGAAGTAGGGCTGTGGGGACACAAGGACGATGTGTAGGGCATAGGGGTGGCCGGGCATCCTAACTGAGTGGCAGGTCAAGTGAAGTCAGATATCCCGGCCTCGCGCAGCTTCTCCTCTGCCTTGCAGCTGCGTCTAATCCCTAAAAAGGCAAGCGGAATGACTGAAAAACATGATGTCTGTTACATCTTCCCCGAACCCGAAGTGTTTTTCAATGGTTCCAAGCTTGGCTTTGCCTCGGGGGAAGGCCAGACGAGGCCAGTGGGCACGCTTTCACCACCTGAGCAGGAAAGCTCAAGACTTACGAGTGCAGGAGCATTCTGAGTTCGCCCGCCATAAAGGAAGGGACGGAAAATTTAAAGGTCGCGAGCGACTCGGGCTCGAACGATGCAGAGTTCAACATGGCAGGTCTGCTGTGGATGATCTGTTACAAGCAATAGCTCAGCTGGTTGTGGTAACCGGAGCTGGGGCTCCGTGTGTTCGAGGTAGTGACGTAGTGCCGAAAACACATGTCGACAGCGAGCCCGACCGAATGGTTACTTGCTGGCATGAGTGGTCAGAGATTAAAGGCGGGGGCTTACTGTAGTTCATGGTTGAGGGTTAGTGACCCAGGCCCACCAAGCCTTAAAAAACGCAGTTCAGAAATAGCCCAAACCAAGCCTGTGGACAGCAGACATGCCAATCCGGCCCATGCGTTTACGCTCAAGCGATGTAGGGGACTTTTGTCGGCTGTCCGCAGTCTTAGATGGAGGTAGAGACAGCCACACAGAGAAGATGTAGAGCTTTCTGTCTGCGATCGAGAGCGATGAGATGAGTCTTATCAATCCGAAGATCCTTGAACACATAGGTGGCTGGTTGCAGCCATGAAACCCTCAGCTCTTAAGCGAATCTGCCTTCGGCATTTAGATCCACAGCCAGCAACGACAACAAGCTTGCTAGGGGTGATCACCTTGAAGGAGAAAAGGTTGGTGGATTCTGATTCCGACCGTGAAGCCTCCTGAACCCCGAACCTGAATCCTGGCCCGAAACCGAAATCGAAAGTCTCACGGCACCCACACAGAACTGAGCTCTAAAAGTCTAACCTATAAGGTTTGCCGTTACGGTTTATGCTCGCCCCTACACTTCCACCAAAATGCGAAACGGAACTTCAGTTACTGAAGCATGTGCGCTGGCGCAACTTCCCGTTTGTTCAGCCGCACCGTGGGTGAGCCAGGGGGTCGCTAAAAACCAATAGCTGAAGCACCTTGTCCATGCCGGGACATGCGCGGGCTAGACTCGGCGAGGCTAGACCTTCGAGCGGCCACTGCCGCAATGTTGCAAGGCAACAAACCAATGCCATTTTTGCCTCGCGGTCAGACCCCAAGAAGCGCAACAGCGGTGCTCAAGCAATGTTATCTCCGACACAGTCCTCCCCAAGGACCACAAGTGCAATGCCCGCAACGGGAGCACTTCGCGCGGTGGCCGTGAACGAAAACAGGGGGAGGGCAGAGCCACACAACCGCCGACTTCATTGAAGGCCCCACGAGCAATGTCTTGCTTGGCTGGGCCTTGTGTCCATGAATCCATTGGCACAGGGTTTAGCTAGAAAGGGTTGTTGCCACCTGCTACCGACGACCCACAGGACTCATTTAAGCTTGGGTTGGTGTTGCACTTGGGGTTTTGGATGGGGACTGCGGGGTCAACTCACTAGAGAATTGAGGTTGTGCAGCCATACGGGCGCAGAAGGGCCAGCTCGGACAGAACCAAATCAGACCCCACTCGCCCCGACATACAAGTACAACACAACACTTCTGGCCGATACCCCCGAGAACGCCCGCATCTCAAAAAGTGTGCTTGATCACCGAAGCTCTTGTGGGCAGACAGTGCGACATCAGGCACGTCATGAGTCTCTGGGCAACAGAATTGGCTGGAGCATCGCTCGAACACAAACACTTTGGTCGATGAACTCAACAGCCACAATCCGAAAACTATCTTGAATCGGTCTCGACATGTCGTGCAGCATCCAATGGGGCCCCCGCCGCCGAAGCGTGTCACTGTCGGCGTGCGTGAGGCCGGTGCAAGGCCAACAAAGGCATGGCAGGCGTAGTAGAAGGCCACCAGGGCCTCAAAGACAGAACACAAAGATTGAATCGTCGGCTTCAGCACTGTGAAAGCGTGACAGCGGAATCCCTGCTAGGCCGCTCCTGTCAAGCACCACCGAGTAGTTCCTCATTGCTTGCAACGGAAGAAACTTCACGAAAGGGAAAACAGGCCAAACTTGAAACCGGTTCTGAGTATACATGTTGTGAGCCCAGAAACCCAAAGCCCTGAACCCTGAACCAACCTCGAACCTTTGCACGCCCAAACCATGCACAGCTTGCAACGAAGACAACTATCCGCCGCTGACCGGCTTCTCGCCAAACCTGAAGATTCAACGACTTCAGGTTGAAGCGATGCTGCATTTCAGGAGGTTACACCGGCACCCCCAGCCGGTCAACTCAAGATACCACGAGCGAATGCGGTTCACGAAGCCAGACGAGGTCCGTGAGGAGCAAGGCGTCCAACTTGTTAAATTCCCACAAAAGTTACCCAAACTAACTTTCGTGACAAAATCCCTGGCCCAGCTGCCGCCACAGCAGGCAAGGCGGAGGAAGTCGACCGGCGAACCATAGCTGTGGGATGGCCTCACAAGTCGAAGAGCAGTCAACGGTTCAGGTGTTTAGGTTTCTGGGCTCGGGACCTTTAGGGCCTTGTGGCTGCTTTCTCGGGAGGTTTGAGGTTCGGTCATTCTCGAGAATACGTGTGGCTCAAGGCCTGCTGACCAACGCTTTGAGGGCTGAGCTATAGCATACTTGCACTGCCAGGCTTGAATGTCTGCGTCAGGCTGGAGCTTAACTTTTGAGATTCGAACATGGGTTTGGGTGCGAACCCGTTGCAGACCCAACCGAGTCCCGTACTGCTGAGGGCATGCCCTGCCCTGTCCCACCCGGTCGTAGCCCCAGAGGTGAAACTCGTCAATCCCTGAACACGAGACACACCCCAAAACCTGCCTTCGAACCGGCGTAGCTGGCAATGTGCAGGGCTCGGGCCAAGAAGGACGGCGGAAGGTGGAAAGCCCGTCGGGAGTACCGACTCTGATTTCAGGCTTTCTCGTTGCGCTACCTCTAAACCCAAACCTGTGATCCCGCTTTCTGCTTGAGAACTACATGCAGCCGACCCCGTGACGGTAGCCAAAGGTTGAAGTGCAGTAGTTGACGGGACTTCGGTCGAAGGCTTCGGGAGCGGGCTCACCGTTGCATATGAGGGGTTGAGAGTTCAAGAAACACAGATCCACAAGGTATCCTGAACCTTAGCTCACAGCCCAAACTTGCAAAACCATTCTTCAGCCTCCAGGCAGTGTGCCGTTTCGGGGCAGGAGAATGCAGGAAACAGCATCACATCATGAAGGACAGTCATGATGAAACCGTCTTTGTCTTGAGACCTGTACGTCTCTTTACGTCTGGGGCCTTCAAGGCTGAAATCAAGGCTCCGGGTTATCGGCAGCGAATCGAGCAATGCCCCGTTTTTAGCTGGACTATGTCCGTCCAAGTTGAAGGAAAATCACATTTGTATTGGGCGGCTGTGGCCCATGCAGGTTAAACATTTGTAAAACGACTGCTGCGCACCCAAGGCGTTGAGTTTCTTCTCTTCACTGACTCTACCCTCAACTTACAGTCCCTCAGCGCCCAAGATGCCCCCTACCCTCCTGAAGCTGTAGCAGACTCCGAAAGCAAAACCTGCAACCTTTAAGCTGGAAGCCTGCAGGCCCTAAGGTCACCAACGGACTCAATGCCTTGGATATTAAGCACCTAGCTCTTCTTGACAGAACACACAACACTAAGATTGAAAATATCCCGGATTGCGGAATCCAAGGGAACCCCACAGTCAAGGTATCGAGGAGGACCGGTGTCTTTTAAAACATGTAGGGTTCATGAAATCTTTGTAAACTTGCTCCAGGACGTTCAGAATTCGGGGCTTCGGAATGAAATTCAACGATGTGGCTCCAAAGAGAACTGTATCAATGTACGTGGTTGGAGATAAAGCATACCATACGAGGTGCAACCTCTGCACTTGCGCTTCCTATGCCCTGAAGCCATCGGCTGTCCACAGTTCAACCGCCTGAGCCCCACATCCGAAGAAGCTACTCCCAATTGTCCCAACGTCATTTTTCCGAGGACCACTGCTGCCACTGCTACTACTCCTCGTCCTCTTGCTGCTGCTACGACGACGATGGCGCAGCCGCCACCGCCGCCACCGTCACCACCACCACCACCACCACCACCGATAGCATCAACCGAGAAGACTGGCGTTGCAAATATAACCGGTTATGACCTTGCCAGATGCTTCGCAACAACAATTCCTAGTCGCGGCGATTACAGGGAACAGATGTTGCCCAGTCTTGCTGCAAATAACCATCATCATTACTACAATTGTATTGCTACCAGTATCATCGCCCTCTTCATCTTCATCTTCATTTAGCGGCAATGCCATGACCTTGCCTCGATGGGGTGGGGACCCCAGAAAGCCAAATCGGACCATCTCACGCCATGGAGGCCACCTTCCGGGTGAACCCTCAACCCAGGGCACCTCTTGTTTGCAACAGTTTCGATTTGCCCTGGCTCAGGAAGACAAGTGGATGAGCTTCGATTCTCTTGGTCTTTGCCTGGTGCCTCATGAGGATTTTGTCCAAGAGTGAGCCAAGGGTTGATTCTCTTTTGGGATAAGACGACTGTGGCTTTCAAGATTCCCGAATATTTTAACGATACTTCAGATAACTCTCATACCCACTCCCTATCAGAAAGGCAGGGCCACGAAAATTAAATCGCCCAAGCTGGGTGTCCTGGACCGCAAGGGGTGTCCCCAGGCTGCGGAAGTTGACACTTGTGGGTTGAGGCTTTGCTTCAGCATGTTTGCTTCAGGGTTTGGGGCTTCAGGGGTTTGAGGTTTAATTTCATATGTTGTAAGGGTAACCTCTGCGAATTTGCCTTGCCGGTGATCTTCTCGTAGATCTCTCTGACCTGCGCTTGCACTATCCGTATCCTCGAAGCTGAAACCCTAAATCTAATGACAACCGCGCGCACTCAACTCGGATACAGTGCTGGCTTCAGGCAGCAGCTCCAAGCCTCAGAATCCATCCCAGACCTGAGAACCCCGAACTGCCTTCATTGCAATCACGGTCTGGAGCAGCCCAGTGCCGTTCTGAGATCCCGGGGAGGACTTGAGCGAGACCATGGCCTGTGCATTCCAGGATTGAGCCGAAGGCCTCGCAATTCCTGTGACTAGCAAAAGTCTAGCCGGGCGGGGTTAAGACGTCCCTTGGTTCAAAAATCAACAGGGAGAGCCTTCTGAGCGATGTTTTCCCGGAGTTGGGTGTTTACCAGAAGAAGCACTTGGCTAGGCTGAAATGCGTAATCCCTGCGCCCGGCATGGGTATGTTATGTCCTTGGTCAACTATTTGGCTTTCGTTGCGTGGCGGGAGTCGCTTCCCGAGCAACGCTCCAACCGCCCAGGCACATCTTGAAAACAAAAATAATAAATAAATGAATACATAAACAAATAAATAAATAAATATATGCATGCATGCATGCATGCATACATACATAGATGGTCTCGCGTCGCGTGTCGGACACCCCCCCCGCCCCGTGGTATCCCCCCCTGGTATAGACCCGAAATCCTTGTGAGGGTCGTCACTTTTGTCTCAAAAGTGCCAACAGTCGCAGGGATGGGCCCCCGAACCCGTGATCCTCGTGAGTGTTGTGACTGTTGAAGCTATGCAACTTCGTGGCGTGTCCATAAAGTGGTGACACTCACCTGGATGGGCCATGGTTTCGGTCTGCGCCGCGCCCAGCTGCTGACCCTCAACCCTAAGCCTAAACCCTTTCAACCTGAAACTCACAACCCACCACCACACCACAGGGGATGAAGGGGGCTTTTAACAACCCAAAACCACGACCACATCACAGCGAGGGCCGGGGCGTGGGACAGCATGAGGCCACCACAGCCCCACAGGGCCACGACGGGGCACAGAGCGGGCTGGCACTCACCACAGCAGGCCACCTAAACCCTAAACAACCCCACCACCGTACCGGGAAGGTGCGGGTGCAAACCCGAAACCCTAAACCCAACACCCACAACCCACCACCACACCACAG